GAACAGTAATGGCAACATTAATTGGATATACTTCGTCCTCAACCGCAACCGCATCAAACTTGGTCTTCTTCAATTTCAGGTACCATGCGCCCAAACAGCGTGGGTGTGCCCGACGAGAATCCAGCTCAATAGCATCGCCAGATTCCCACGCTTTTAAGCCGCCGTCGTCCACCAACGCCACGCGCGGCAGTGCTGCAGACGTCAGCGAGTCATCCAGCGTGTAAACGTGCTGCAAAGCGCGCGGGGAAGACGGCCGCACCGTGTTCTCGTCAGAAAAAGCGCACGACTTGCCCGTGCGCGTAGGTGGCACCGTTTGTGGGCGCAGGCCTCAAAACGCCGATGTCTCCACACTGAACGTCGCTGAGCACGCCGCGTCATCGCCTGCACGTGGCGAACACGTCGAGGACGCGCGCACAAAGGGCCGTCGTTTCGGCTCAGACGTGGATTTGTGCTCAAGCTTGGGCTCAGGCTCGGGCTAGACGGTGTTTGCGTCAAACGACGCGTGCGGAAGCGGCTGCGCGCGCTGCGGTGACGGCGGGTGCGGCGGTGGTGTCGGCGGAGGGGTACTCGGCGGGGATCGCTCGGAGGAGAGGCGGAGGATGTGAGCGAATTCGAGTCTGAGGAGAAGGCTCGCACGGCCGGCGCGGCGTAGGGCTGGCGGAAGAGCGCGCGCTTCTGCTGGTCGTCCATGGCGCCGCCGCCTCCGCGGCGGTGGTAGGGCGCGGGTTCGGTGGATGTCGAGCTTGCGCAGGGCGGGGATGCGATGTGTTCTTGCGGATGCTGTGGGCTTTAGTAGCTCCCATAACGTTTTCTTTGCGTCACGCTTGAAGCTCTGACGGTGCTGCTGACCTTCGTGTCAGTTGACCATATGTATGGGTTGTCAGCGAGGGTTCATATTCGTGACAGAACCCTCGATTTTGACCCTGTTTGCGAGGGTGGTCAAAAGTGGCTAGCTTATGTGTGGGACGGAGGTACAGATTTCAGGGAATGCTGAGAGTGTCCTAGAAAATGGGAAATCTCTCGATATCTGGGTATCCTAGACAGAATGCACCGTGAAATGTCCTACTGTAGAAAGAGCCTTACGTCTAGAACAGAACTGCTTTTTTACCCAAGAGAGATTGGTTGATGATTGGCAGGTGCGAGCATGACATAAAAGAAACACTAGAGCGGAAATCTGAACTGACAGGAAGGGGACGACGGAGCAAGCAAACGCCTCAAAGAGGGGCAAGGTGAGCCCTGTGTACAGCCGTCCTCTACTTCCCGTCATTTCCAATAACATTTTCTTTCTCAGTTCCTCAATTGGCATAATTAATGGAATGACCCCAGTCCGTACGTATTCTAGTCACCTTTGACACGATGAGAGGCGTCTTCTTGAGACATGATCGGTCACCGTGTTGAATGCCGCTCGGTTTGATGTTCTTCTAGATGCCTTTCGTGTTCCAAATCACTTGCTCTATGCTCGTTTTCAGAAAGATCATTCGTAATACTGACTTTAAACTTAAAGCTTTGGAGGCCGAAAAGGTACACCTGCTAGAGCAGCAATATCGTGCCTGAGATTTATTTCTATACATGCTCTCACGATGTAGTTCTGACAAAGCTTCATGCACGTTTCCAGTTCCACAACAGAAAGCCAGATATCGTGAGAGTTTTAAAAAGCTAAATCTGATCATTACGCCAATAGTTACTCACAGAAACATCATAGCTGAGAATCACTTCGATCTGTGTCCCTTTACGCAATGCAATTTGCGTACAACAATCAACTTGATATTTGCTTGCTAGCACATCACGCTTTACCACTCTCATTTTCTTTTTAAGTAGCCAAGTAAGCTTTCCGTTGCACATACCGTGTAAACGATAAATGCTAACAACAGTTTCAGGACGCGTTCTGGATAATCATCTGACAAAAACACTCTCATAATAATATGGTAATATGGTGAAAAATTAAGACTGATGATTTCCGCGCTTGAGGAGAAATAAAGGGTTGATTCCCTACTCACAGTGTCTCTGCTCGCAGAGCTGAGAGGTGCTTCATTGTGTTGCATCGCAACTCTCAGCAAACCACAAGAATGGGCACAAGAAGTCTCTGCCTCCTCCTCCGGGCAAGCCTGGGCTCTACTGGGGACTCTGTATATCAGAGTTATTGTCCTGTACGCGCCCTTTCAATGAGCTAGCAATTACGCCCTTTTGAATTATCCGCGTATTGCTGCGCCCTTTGGCTGAGCTATGACGTAGGACATGGTGTTAGTTTGCGGAACATCTTAGCTCATCGCATCACATTGGGCCTCTCCTGAAACAGCAAATACACAGATTTAAAAGGATATACATGAGTTTGAGGTAGGATGCATTTCCACGAAAGCCCAGGACTTGTGATGCTTCTTCCCTGAGCTTTGCTTCTGCTAAATAGAATGTGGAACAAATCTCTCGCAAGCGAGATAACGAAGAAACAGTTTTGCGCTCTTGTGTTTTCAGGAGACGCCCAGTGTCGCAGTCCACGTCCATTTGGGGCCAGGCCGGACAACTTCTGTAGCCAATTATATTGCCGTCTCACAAATTTGTGGAGAAAGGCGAACAGGCCACAATGTAGTCATTTTGGTGACGGCCTGCAAAATTTGATACGAAAACTGGGCTCCGTCTTCACTGGACGTTGGAGTTGAAAAATCTTGGTGAACATCCGAGGGTTTTTTTGACCTCACACCTCTCCCCAGATAAACAATTGATAACCTCCGTTGCTCTGTCCAAAGCGCACCACGTCGACAATCCTTGTTCTCTCATCATAGACTCCAAGCGCCGAAGAAACTCGCCTGCATTTCTCACCTTCGCCTTCTACTCTATTCGCGTCGTACGCTGACGCATTTCTTACACAGATCTCCAGACCGGAATGGCATTCGTCAACGCTCTCTCCGTCGGCACCCACGTCCCCGCCAAGAACCGGTCCTCTTCATTCGTATGCAACAAACTGGTTTCCCGCGATGTTCGAGCCAAATCCAGCACGCCGCGCATGGGATACGGCGACTACAGCTACCTCACTGACAAGACCAAAGGCCATGTAAACCAGTATTACGTCGACAAGTTCCGCATCGCTTCAGATTTTTCCAAGGGTGTCCCCGCCAGCCTTAGCGACGCCAAGCTCGGTCGCGACCAGAAGGGACGTGTAATCGTGCCTGAAAAAGGTATTCCCCAGGCGTTCGACTCCCCAATACCTGAGCGTGACGCAACTGCTCCTCCGGATCCCCGCATTGCTGAAGCTGAAGGCGCTGTTTTTGCCTGGGACCCTGCCTACGTTGACCCCAAGTTTTCCCCAGGTACCTATGAGAACTGCGAGGACCCAGCGGTAGCTGAAGATGCCTTCCAGAAATTCCGCGCGTCTGTAAATGAGCAGCGCGGCGCGGTGTTGACCAGGATGGACTTTGGGGCGGTGGAACGTAAGAAACGTATTAGAGCGGGCCTAGACGAGAAGTATTTGCTCTGTCTTGATGGTAGTTTGGATGTTAGGTACGCGGTTTTACAGGATATCGCAGACCCTCCTACCTTCACGCCTACTGGTGAGCCTCAGACCGAGATTCCAGGACAGCCCTACACTGGAAGCGTTGGCGCAATGGACTTTATGTTGACCCCTGGAGAAGAGATCGCCTTCTGGAAACAGCTCCAGGCCAAGGGTGTGGACGAACCCGTGTTCAAGAAGCCGTCGGGCTCGGACACTCCGGAGCTTCCGTACAACGTGAGTGCGACAGTGGATCAACTGAAGGACGCACAGAAAGCTCGCGACATTATTTCTCCCTGAAGGCATCAGTGAATCATCTCCTCTTAAACAGTTCTTTCGTAGAAAGTAAAACACTTCGTGTGGTTGCTTCACTCTCTACACGAAACGCAGATATCTCCCCATTGGCGAGCGATACGTCTACGACTCCTGTTTTGCTGATTGTTCGACTCTACCACTGTATTTATATTTCTCATCTTGATTAGCTTCGTGTGCCTACTGGATAGACGGTGTCTATGGTGTTGTTCGCTCTACCACGCCAACCATGGGACACGTAGAAGAAGAACATGTTCGGAGTATCCAAACGATAATGCTGATACGGAAGGCATTTACTCGACCGTTTGTTTCACTGCACACCATGCAGGAGGTAGCTGTGTGCGCGGGCATAGTTTAGTTTCTCAGATACGGATACGAATGGAACGCTTCACTTCGCAGAACCGATAGGACTTGAGCACATCCTCAAATCGCATGAGGACCAAAATGTGGTGGGGTGGATGAAATTGACACCAGAGGTGCTCTGCCATGGGCTACGTATACATACGCTCCCCTTCCCAGACGAGAGACTCAAATGGCGAAAGATCGAAAGTGGTATTTGGTACAGGTTAATGCTATGACAGATGCTGCCGTGCGCCATTGTTGTTGAAGCAGCTTGTGGACGTAGCTTCGTAATGAATATGGATCAAAGACCGAGTAACGCAAGGCGGTAGATATGAATAAGGGTGCAGCAGCAATGTGCTACGCGATGCCGTGAGACAAGTTGTTGGAGATGGAGATGATTGAGGTGCATCTTTGCAGTCGTGGTTTTCTGTGCAGTGTTTGCCAAGCACCAGGTTGAGACGTGAAGTTTCGGAGATGGCGCGCTCTTCTTGCAGGAATTATAGGCGAAGCAAGGGTTGGAAGGCTATCTTTTTGGGCTACACACAGAGAGGAAGGTGTTCGGCTCATCAAGACACAAAGTGGTGCTACCTACAGACTCCGTACGGACTGTGTTACTACCACTATGTACCACTCTGTCGGAATTAGTGGCGTGCGCCCGTAAACATACATACCTACATACTACTGTACCACAAGGTAAACGGTACAGGTACTATGGAGTACATATGAGGTGTGAAGTTCACACCTCTATGGTGTAAACAATAATCTAGGATGAATATGTGCTCCATAGTACCGTGTGAGAGTGAAGGACGCGGTAAAAAATGCAAAAATTTGAGTACTGAAGTAGTGTTGATGCGTTGTGCAGAAGGCGTCTTTGGCCGAGTGGTTAAGGCGGCAGACTCAAGGAAGAAAGGTTACATTCTCTGCGCGTTCTGCTTCACGTTTGTGAGCATGGGTTCGAACCCCATAGGACGCAGTGAGTGATCGCCGCTAGACTCAAACCCTTCGCAGCGTCATCGCCAAACTTTTCCATCGGGGGTCGTCGGTTTCGTACTGTAGCTCTTGTTGCTTGACTCATTGCAAATTGACAGGAGCTGAAGTGAGATGCATCTAGTGATAGCCTTCGTTTCTCAAAGCACGGATCGGAATGGGAATGAAGTCCATGCCTTCACGGATTACCATTCATGCAGGCGCGTTTTTTACCTTCACGCAATTACTCGGCCGAAACGAATCGGAGTTGCGAGCGGGTGCTTCTATGGCGCACCACGTGTGCACGTGTCATGGAGACAAGTCGTCAAAAGGAAATTCAGATGAAACGGAGCAGCCACGCAGCGCGGATGCGCCTGTTGAGGAGGATGAACGAGGTAAACAATCGTAAAACAGTCTGGAAAAAGAACGAATATTCACATGCGCGACTGCAAGTGAGGCAAGTGGCTGTCAGCCACCAAAAAAGCGTCACCGTGGCCACACATTTCCAGCACCCTTTTCCCACTTGTCGCACGGCAATTGGGCAGCGCTCAATGCGGTCTCCAAATACTGCCCAAATACTGCGCAAACCGCCTCCAAGAGACACATGCCCATCTCGATGCGTGGCGCTGCTTTGCTCCACTGCCGAGCTTGTGGCGGAGCTTACCCACCGCTGGCAGCCATGTTTTAATTATCGATCACAGTTCTGCACTTGTAACCTGTGTCTGCCACGCTCCCACGACCGCTCATCGCCTCTGGCCACATCTGTTCGACGCCATTTCATGATATCTGCCCACGCTTCAGCTCCGCATTCGTTCTCCGCCCACTGCGCCATTCTCTTCGTTATATCGTCTCCGCGAGACAACTTGCCTTTGCCAGCGCTGTGAAAACTGAGCGTGTCGGTTGTACAACAACTAGCTTCAATACCCACCTGCCTGACGTTCCACGCATCTCATTCTTTCCATTCCTTTCTTACAACCCGTGCAATGGCTCCACTTTCAACCCGCGGTACAAAATCTCCGTCTATCCCGCCGCAAAAGGCCGCCACAGAACAGCAGACACTGTCTGAGAGGACTGCGTCCGCAACTACAACCACCACCCCATCCGTCATCTCCGCCGCGCCGACCAAGCCGAAAGAAACATCAACAACCGCTTCGTCCACCCAAATACAAAAGCCTGAAAAATCCCCCTTTCAGTCCATCAAGCTCGCCCTGCAAGAAGCGCAGGTAACGCTTGTGGAAGAGCCCTCCCCGTATTCCTTCACCGACATTGAACATGCGCTTCCAGAAGCCGATCAAGTGCCCTTGCAGAAGAAGGCTCACAAGAGCTATAAGATAGCGCTTTTCGCTTGGGAATCCTTACATTCCGTTGCCGTGGGAGGCGTGGCACCGCATTTGACCGAGCTTGCTGCCGCACTTGAGCGTCGTGGTCATGAGGTGCATGCTTTTGTCAGAACGGGCGCCGGTCAACCGTCTTATGAACGTATCGATGGCGTTCATGTGCATCGCATTTCATTCGAATTGTCCCCGGACTTTGTGCAAGAAGTTACCAATATGTGCAACGCCATGGTGCATTTCATGCTTGAGACTGAGGCTTTTATGAACACTCACTTCGATATTTGTCACGCGCATGACTGGTTGGCTGCCCCGGCCCTCCTTAATATCAAGCGTAATCACAACCGTGTTTGCGTCTTTACCGTCCATTCTACCGAATTTGGACGTTGCGGAAATAATATTTATGGCGGACAATCCGAGCGCATTCGAGCCATTGAGGCGGAGGCTATTGGACTCGCAGACAAGGTTATCGGCGTGTCGGGAGTTTTGTGCGATGAGATCAAGGCTCATTATAGCTTTGACTGGGAAAAGCTGCGATGTGTGTACAATGGCATTAATTGTTTGCGTTATGATGGAAACCTTTGGGATCCGGCTGAGGTCCGCGCCAAGTATGGTGTCGGACCGATGGATCCTATGGTGCTCTTCGTGGGTAGAATGGCCACGCAAAAGGGGCCGGATATTTTGGTGGAGGCTGTTCCGAGCATTCTTGCTGCGCGCCCAGACGCCAAGTTCGTGTTGGTTGGAGATGGATACATGAAGGATGGGCTTATCGCTAGAGTTCATGAGATGGGCGTTGCGGCATCGGTTTGCTTTACGGGAAGTATGACTGGACAACCGCTTGTTGACCTTTTCAAGGCTACTGATTTGGTTGCCATTCCTAGTCGGAATGAACCTTTTGGAATTGTTACACTGGAAGCTTGGGCGTCGAACAAGCCTGTTGTTGTCACCAAGAGTGGTGGACCGCGTGAATTTGTGTGGCATGATAATGATGGCTATCTAGTGGATACTAGCCCTGATGGCATGGCGTGGGGTATCTGTAACGCATTCGCCAACTTTGAGCATGCGAGTTACATGGGCGAACGTGGTCGTGTTAAGGCAGCGTTCCAGTTCTCGTGGGATAATATTGCGGAGAATACCAACAATATTTACGACGAATTGTTACCAGATCATCCTGGACATTCTGAAGCGGATGGAGAGCCTTGCAAGGGGGACGAGAAGATCGTGGAAGCTGGCGTAGCACCTGCTGATGTGAGAGTTGTCGCGGATAAACCCGCAGTCGCTAAGCCAGTGGTGCAAGTTTGAATAGCGTCGATGAAAAGGTTGTTTGTATTGTGGGGATTTGTTTTGTAGGATGGAGTAGAAGAGCTCCCTTCTTTTAACGGGAGTTCACTCTTTTATGGCTGTTACGGCTGTAGACAGTTTGTATCTGGGTGATCGAGCTTATCTGATAGATAGCACATCCTTGTTCGTCGTACAAGTGTGTACTTACAAAGGATGTGGTGGTTTTTTTTTCTTGTGCATTTGAACCTGGGATTGTTTTGGTGTTTAGTTCACGTTCGGCAGAGCGCTATTCGTTCACGCCTCCTGCCTGATTCCCGAAAAGCTGTCTTCCAACGTGTTTGTATGTAAATTTCTATATTACTGCTGCTTTCGTGTATTGTTGTCTTCCGACGGCGGACCAAGGGTCTTGGGGAAGAATATTCATTGGATAAAGTGGGGCTATTGTCATGGCCTCGGTAGCGCATTGCTCGGCAGCTTTGTTTTCACCTCTGGGCTTGTGGTTGCTGGATCCCGGATTCGGTATGCAGGGCTCTAAGAGACGGAATCTCGGATGGTCAGACTAGTTGTCTGCCTGTAACGGGATCGTTGGCCCTCCTGTATGAGCTGTGTATGATGCGTTAGAACAACACATAGGCAGGTCAGTTTACGAGCGTGGTATCGTCTTCATGAAATGGCACGTTGCGCATCCCAACCGCGCTTCGAAGTCGAATCGTGGCTTGCGCTTTCAGCTTGTGAGGTGGCTGCAGTGTTTCATTCATGTTGTATCCTTCACGCGACAGGCTCAGATGCCGCACGAGTGATCGCGATTCAAATCCAGGTAGACTAATTGTTGAAGATGCCGAGTGCCACCTTCGACAGGCCGATAGGCGATGCGTGAAGGTACATATGTATGGGGTGATATCTTATAATTCTAGAAGAAGTCGACATGCCTAGCGATGCAGCTAAGAAGCGTAAGCTCTGAAAGGTATTTCGGGCACCCCTTTCACGCATTTCCAATGAAAATGTGGACCGAAAAAATGCTTTCCGTCCTGTACCTTTGGTGCCAAAGCTTGTACCAATGCTTGGTACCAAAGGTACCGAAGATACGATTTCAGTGTCATCACGGTCAAAATCTCACATTGACAAACATGCAAAATCTTCAAGACGGCGTTTCACGTAGCGGCGGGTGTTTCTTTCCACTCAAAGGTTGGTAAGCATCGTGCCATGAAAATCTTGTACAATACGATACACGGTACTGTGCAACCTGAAAGATATCTGCATGTCCGCCAACCTTTCTCGAAAATGGTTGGTTTCCCGGTACCGTATTCACGTGCGCCCTCACCAACGGCCTATATTTGGCATCAGATTGCTTCCTAGAAGCATAGATTCGAGATGTCGCAGAAAAAGAGTTCCGAAAACATCTGCACTTGCGGCAAAGAGATTGCAGAGCAGGCACCAGCGTCAGAGACAACCTGTCGAAGTTCCCAAATCATCCTCAAACACGGACAGTCACACGTTATTTTCATCGGAATTTTGAACTGCAGAATCCGAAAAAAAAAATCTCCGCGCGGACATGCACATTCAGCGTACCCTTCGTACTCTTGGTAAACCCTGCGCCATCGCTCATCTCCACCCATTGCTGCGAGCGTAATTGGATGCCTTCTCTTTCAAAAGTACCTTCGGTGTATCCGTCCTTCCTTGCCGTCAACGAAACCAAGCTCCGTAAATATAGCGAAAGCAGCAGCGCAGTAGAGAGCGGCATTACATTCAACTATCATCACTGATCCTCTGATTTCATCTGCAAACCACACGCGAGAAGCAGTAGTGTTCGTTTAGCGCACGCGTTCATCGTCGCCTCTTTCTCTCCTCGCAGCGTGGTTTCCCATCCACGTTTTTGCACACCTGCTCATGCACCGTCGGCAGTCGAGGGCCTGCATTAAACGGTGTCAAATACACTCGCTTCGCTCTTCTTCAACGCCTTATGGCCGACCGTGAGGGAGACCAAAACGACGTTTCTGCACAAGATTGCTCGTCTTCCATACCAAACCATGAACCTAAAGAGGAGCCATGTGAACAGCCACCCCCAGCAGAACCTTTGCCGCGAGCCACATCGCAAGTGCGTAACTCTGTGTTGGAGGAAATAGCAGCTCATCAGGCCAAGCGTATCACTGAGCTCGAACGCACCTTGGAGAAGAAGCGCGCAACCATAAAGCGCCTTTCCGCTGCACCCCCACTACCCCATCCGGCAATACCAATGGTACCACCAACGGCGATGCCGATACCACCCGTGTCAACGGGAACCCAAAACGGTTCTGCCCAAACAGCTTCAGTGGGCGCTCCACAGGCCTCGATGCCAACACCATCCACTCCAATACCAATACCGTCAGGACTGCCACCACATTCGCAACCTCAATCT